GCGTGTGCCAGGTTCTCCCCGTTTCAGGGCGTGCTGTGCTCTCATTGCTAACGTGCCAGAGACCTTGGCTGGGGCTGCCCGTCAGTCCTTTAGCCAACAGGACAGGGACAAGCCACAAGATTTACAGCAGATTGTGGAAGGTTTGTACCCCCCGTTCTCCACCACAGCAACAGTGCAAGGTAAACCAGACAATGCACAGATTCCCTTACAACAATCCACGTCAAAACAACACCGCACTAGAGGGACTTGTCCCCAGCCATCCCCGAGATGGCTCCGAAATGATGCCACCAGGGGTAACAAGCGTGACACCTTAGTGCAGATATCCCTTAAGCTGGAACCTACTGCACGTCCTACAGCTAGACAGGCCTTTGTAAGGTACGACTGAAGCTCCCCAACACAGACTCCACGCAGCACCAAACGTGGCACAGCCTGGCCTCTTGGCCCATCAGCACCACTTTGAAATGAAGCTCTTAAGACCCGATGAGCAGCAAGTCACACTTGGGGACTCAAGAGGCATCAGTGTCCTATTTCCACAGACTCCGAGAGTCAGGGTACCACGAAGCACAGACTATGTGGTGGCGAGGTCATCCTAGTGACTCTTCAGACAAGGAGAGGTATAGGATCAGGTAGCCCCCACGGCATCCTATTCTTCACACCTGACTTAAAAAGGGAAAGGTTTTCACATTCATTCAGCAAAACAAGCAAAAGATGGATATGCAGCAGCAATGGCTACATCCAGAAAAGCTGAGGGTCGCCCAGGCCCTGGGCATGTCACCATGAGAAAGGTGCAACAAGGCAAGCAGGTCAGCTCCATCCCCTCAGTGACCTTAACTCCTGCTATAAATAACTGCATGGAGGTGGCAGGTGGCAATGACCCTCCAGCCTGGAGGCCAGTGAGAAGAAACGTTTTTGGGACGAGCTTCGAGGTGAGGTGGTAGGAAAGAGGGGTCTGGGTGTACTGCCAACAGTGCTCCACAGCGCCCCACGGGGCTGGGATCCTCAATGCCTCCTCCCCGGGGGAGGACGGCACCCTTCCCGCACGCATCCCCATCCTCCGTCACCTCCGAAGAGTCACCAGGCAGGGGAAGGAGAAAATAACCTGAAATGACCCTACGATTCGGCTCGCTCTCTCCGACTCAAGGGAAGCAACGAATTCGGCTCCAGCTCAAGGGGGGCCAACCCAACACCCGTCGAACGCCACTGCCGAGACACCCCACTGCCAAAAGGGGGATCCCCCATTGCCAAGGGACAGCCAGCCGCGCCCCCACCACGGACATGCCCCATCACATCAACCCCCAAGAGGGGAACAAACCCCCGACGCCACGGGACCCCCCAGAGCAGCCCTCAGCAACACCCCTCGCCCACCCACACCCTCCTCCACACAGCGCCCCCGGGGGTGGGGGCAGC